TCAAAAGACAATACTGTGAAAAAAATTGTGATATAAATAATTCACATTTATCTTTAAAAAGTCAATTAAATATATTACAGTTTTGGTAAATAGTTGAAAAATTTTAATGAAATATAGTAAATTTTAGAATATAATTAGCGTTATATTATAAAAAGAAATATGAGCTATATATATATTTTTTTTTTTCAAAGTGCAATTAAATCATACATAAATCAATGATTAATATTTTTTAAAGATGCAATATTTTAAGATAATATATAGGTAACACTAAAAATTTATGCAAGATGACACGTTCAAACGTTTCATGTAGATTTTTTATTGTACTCGATAATTAATAACAAATATTTGGATGATCAAAAATTGTTAACGATTGCAGAAACAGCAATCAAAAATTAATATCTGATCGTAAGTCTGATACAATAATATTTTCATTACATAAAAGAAGTATATAAAATTGAAAGATTAATATATTTCTCATGAAATATAATAAAAAATTATTTCATTTATGCATTTATAGAAATTTTCAGTGTTGTCTACATATACTAAAGTATATTTTTCTAATATTTGTATACACTGAAAATAATTGAAATATGTATAATGGCAAATAAAACTGTATGTAGTATTTACATTACTATATTTTATGATTAATGAAAATAAAGTAACGAATATAAAGTTACAATAAAATAAATAATTTTAATAATTTGTATTGTCCTTCTTTGTAAATACTAATTCTTTTTTAATTGATTTTAACAATAGCGAAAATTGTTAGAATACACTAATATATCAATTTCCCAATATATTTGATATAGACAAAAATAAATTAAACTAGTTTGTCAAATATTAAATTTTTATTTCTCTAATTATAGTAGTAATTATTTGATTTCTATCTTTTCTTACATTCTTCTATATTCATAACATACGCGAATACAATAAAATCTTTAATGCTAAAAAAAGCTGTCGTCAAAAAATGATATATTATATAAACATATAGATTCTCATAAATGCTGTGCTATCACTTATAAATGCTAATGATACGATAAGAGTGCATGGTTACTATGGATTATAAAAATGATTAATACATGTCTTTTCTTAATATGAATTGTAGAAATGCGGATTATTCATACAAATAGTCATAGAATTATAATTAATCTTTCTTCTTTGGTTTCTTAGGATTACGCGATCGCGATTTTGCTTTGCAAAGTGGACAAATTGGTGCATTCCTATGAATTTGTTGATGGCACGAAAGGCAAGACTTCATAGGCGGCGGTTGTTGCCTATAAAGCGATAGAGATATTGTATTACAAAATTGGTAACAAGTAATGTTTTCAATTTTACATAAAAAATATAATAAGGGGACGAGATATACCAGTGGTACCTGAATGTTGGAGCGGGCGGCCCTGGGGCTGGCGGTAATGGTCTAGGCTCTGGTTTACTCGGCCCTTGAAGTGGTTGCGGAGCTAAGAAAGGTGTAGAACCACCTGGATGCCCAGGATGGTGTAGTCCAAGCGGTGGTATCAAGTCATCACCTCGTACTTCTACTCTCCATTCAGCTTTTTGCATTGGACGTTCAAAGTAACTATGAACAAACCGTCTACACAATAAAAGTTTGACTCAGCTCAGTCCATAATGTCAATCTCCACTTAGTGGCTGATACTACATGCACCACTTTTATTGCTGATCTTCAACAGCTTTGTGATAGTAAAGGTACTTACTCAGGGGAGATAAGATCTGATTCAGTTTCGTACAATTCTGGTAACCTTTCCAAACCCAAGAATTCTCTGCGCATACGATCAATGTCGTGTTTCAGTGGTTGATAATCATTGTTATGAATTAGTTTAGCAGTTTCCCTCGCTCTGTTACGTGCTTCCTCTGCTTGTTTGATCACTGATTCCATCTAATCAAGAGTAAACATTATTATTAAGTTTCAATATATTCCATACAATGGAATTATATTTTGATTGTATTTCAAAACTTACTGCCATAAGGCCTATTCTTTTTAGCTGCATAAGTCATTTTTT